GCCATGGAAGCGGACCTCGAAAAGACGGGGCAGAGTAGTTCTTTCAGGATTGACGTTTGATCTGGCGGGTGCACTCTGCCACAAAGTGATTTGGCTTGTGTTGCATTTGGATAAAATAGGGGCCTAACTAACTACCGCTACTGTTTTCGTGTTCCGGATTTTGTACTCTACCCCAAAACTCTGTTCGAGCATTATAGATATCGCAAAACATACCCCGAAACCCCATTCTAACTATTAATTAAGGCCCCTATACTACCTTGTCTGCATGATCTTCGGCTTTTGAGTCTGGCAAGAGACGAGGAATCATTTAAGCTGCCGGCTGTATGAGCTCGCCCAAAGGTTGGAAAATGACAAGTTGCTTGTTGACTCAAGTTGTTTCCCTCGTGCCCAGCATATCATCACAGAAAGAACGCGAACACACAGATAGGGAAGGAAACCAACACCCATCAGCAACTGTTTAAATTTCATGCAAGTAACGAGTTCCTCCGTGGTCACTTCCACATCGGCAGGCCCGTCCTTCTCCACGTCCCCGTCGTCAACGTCATCCTCGACTGCCTCCTCCTTCGAAGATAAAGAGCCCGAGTTCTCAACTCGAAGCTGCCATCACCCTTACACCCTAAGGCCTGAACCCCAAACCTGAAACTCTAGTAAACCCTAAAGCCTTATAGCAACCCCTCTAAGTGGCCCCTTCTTATGGAAACCCTAACATCCTGAAGCCTACGGAGCTCCTGGGTCGGGGTCTGCATTGGTTCCGCGCAGGCCGCTCTTGCCTTCTTTTCCGCTGCGGCCTCGCGCTTGGATCCGGTGGCTGCCTTGAGGGGATCTTCGCTTTGCAGGGCTTAGTTGACGGAGGGCTCCGTTATATAAGGGTTTAGGGTTTAGACGCTAGTCTAACCCTGAATCCTAAACTAACCCCTAGACCCCTGAACCCGAAACCCTAAACCCTGAAACCTAAACCCGAAACCCTAAACCCGAAGCCCTGACCCTAGACCCTTAACCCGAAACCTACATCCATCAGGCCGGAGACCCTCGCCGACCGCTTCACTACGGCTTCGCACCACCAGACAGCAAGGTTAAGGGTTTTTTTCTTTCTTGGTACACTTAAAGGGTTTTAGGGTTTAAGGTTGAGGGGTTTAGGGTTTAGGGCTTAGGGTTCAGGGGCTTCAGATTTGGGGTTAAGGGTTTTGGGGTTTAGGGGCAAACCCGAGATCCCAGTTCAGTGCTGTGAGCTTTTCAGTGGGGAAGGTGCACTTCGGGTCACCCTAGCTCCACATGGCAGCTACCCAGACCTTCCCAGATTCCGTAACTTAAAATTACAGCAGGATCCCTAAGATGACTTCAGGTATACTCCTTGATTTAATTTCTTGTTGGAAGGTCTGGGCGTGTCGGCTGAGCGTGCGAAGCTTGCCGCAAAACTTGATCTCTGAAGCCGGGAATGTGGGATCCGATCCCGCGACCACTTGTTGTTGGCCCACTTCAGTGCGTGTCGTATAGCCATAAACCCCAACAGCCGCTCTCCCCATCCTAAACCATCATCCCCACAGACAGTCAGATCTCTGGATTTTGGGTTTCGGAGTAGGAGCTAGTAGAAGTGATTTACTGTGGGATTAGAGGCGGCACAAGCTTCACAGAGCCCTTTTTTGTTTTTGTAAAAATGACATCCTTACAAAACAGTAGCAACCCCCAACAACATGCAGTAACAAAGTAACAGAGAAAAGGCAAGCCTGAAAGTGGGCACTCAACGCGCCAGACATGAGTCGCTAGAGAACTCAACGATCTTGTTTGGCATGTCCTTGGACTGTTGCTTCGAAGAATCTGTACTTGTAATAAGCCAAGAACCTAGGACGTCCTTGCAGCATCACTGTTGGATTTGGCATTCAAGGCCTCAGGACCCCAAACCCGACCAAGCCCATCAACCCTTGCGTGAGCCTCCACCCGGAACTCTACAAAAATCCCCACCTCACGTGACTGAATTTAGGAGAGAATCCTGGCACAAAGCCGACAGCATAGAACCTTCCAAAGGAAACCTTGAAGCACCCCTTTTTAAGAAGGAACCCTTACCGGAACCCTGCAAAGAACCCTAAACTCTTATCTCTTGAAGGATCCGAGCTTGGGGATATAGATCCTCTCAATAAGGTCCCTTTTAAGAGAGCCATAAGCAGAGTTGAGAAGGAAGGGCCCCCGTTTAAGGGGTCTCCCCCCTAGTACCTTGAGTTGAAAAGGATCCCCCTAAACCCTAAACCCTAGTCCATAAAACCCTAAACCCTACACCCAAAACCCGTAAACCCTAAACCAAACAGGGCAAGGAGTGGCCTGCGCTGCACGCTCTGGCACCGTCTCGGCCAGCTGCAAGCCGAATAGCCGACGTGCTTGGCCATGGGCCTTAAGCTTCTTTTTGGTGGGCTTTAGGACTTGGAGGTTTGGGCCTGGGGTTTAGAAGTAGAAGGTGCAGAGCGCAGAGGCGTAGAGGTTTAGGGTTCAGGGATTTGGGGTTCTTCGTTTCAGTATTGAAGGGCTTCCCTGGTGCTGGGCTCTATATAGGGGCTTGATCGGGTGGGCATTAGCTTGTTTGTTGTGGGGTCCCATCTTTCTAAAGGGCTTTAGAGTCTTTAGATTCCTAACAGGGCCGTATGAAGGTGTTACCCCAGACCCCAAACACGAAACCCTAAACTCTTTAAGTCCTATAAAGCTCTATCAGGGGTGGAATTCGTCTCTCTTCTTCTTTTGCTAACTAATCCCTGAGCTTCGACCCTTAACTGAGCTCCTGTATTTGAAGGGTCTCCTAATCAATGGCCATACAAGGCTTTTCAGCTGTCTTAGGTGGTTTGACAAGTATTGCTTCAATTGTTTGTGGGTTTTTGGGGTTCGACATCCGAAAGATTGCCTTGCGACGGTGGCGTGCAATTAGTGTCGTTTGCTGCTGACTACCTTGGCTACTACGACTACGACCACAACCTCCACCCATGCAACTAGTAGTATGTACTAGACTCCGGCCCCAAGCGTTTGCCCACAATTTTCTGCTACTCCGGATTGAGCAGAGATCATTCACGGCCCGAAAACGATGACAGTCTCGTCCGTTGTGACTGGAGAATCGTGAAAAGAGACATGCATTCTCCAGATTCGGGCCGGTCGTATACACTGGTCTTGCCAGATGTTATACGCTTCGCGCCTCGGAACTCTTGAGTTTAGTGACGCACTCTGCTCAACACACACCCCCCAACTTAACTCCGGCGTTTGCTGGCACGTGTGTGTGTGGGCAAACGTCGGGCACGGAACTCAGTAGTAGTACTTGTCACTGGTACTTGTACTGCTACTTCAACGACGACGACGACGGCGAAGACTACTACCGCTGTCCGACCACCACCGCCGCCACTACCTGTGAACCTCAACCAACAAGAAACCTTAAGTGCGAAACCCAAACACCCTAAATCCTAGAAACCCTAAACCCTATACCCCAAACCTAGAGCCCTCAAGAATGGCGGATAGAGCTTCGCGGCAGGCTGCACCCAGCAACTCAACGAGGCTTAACTTCACTTTTTTTAAGCTCGCCAGACATTCCCAAGCCATCAGCACATTTAGGTTTAGGGGTCGAACTAACGAACTCCAGACCCTAAACTCTTCAAAGAAACGCTGACTCAACAGAGTACCCTAAACTCTGAAACCCTTTTTTGAGCAGGGACTGCAATGCACTAAGCCCTAAACCCCTAAACCCTAAAAATTAAACAAACAACGGACACCATGAAGAACTGGAGGACACCTCCGTCACCTGCAGGCCCAGAGGAGGTCGCAGAATCGTCCACTCCTGAGATCCGTAAGCCCCTCATCCCTACCCATAGGCTCCTAAGTAGTTCCGTTTTGGGATTACATTAAAGGATTCTAAATATAATCCACAAAAAGGAACTACTTAGGAGCCTATGGGTAAACCCTAAAAAATCCAGGCTTTCCGGTGCTCGCAGGGCTCAGGGTCAAGGTTCCGAGTTTCGACTCGCACGCTCGCACAAGCAGGCACGGCAAATCGATCGTCCAGGGTTCCGAGTTTCGGGTTTAGGTCTTCAGTTCTGAGTGCACGGCTTCAGAGTTTCGGGCGTTATAGGCTTAGGGGCTTAGGCTTCGAGGGAAGGGTTTCGACGCTACAGTTGAGAGGCTGAGGGCCGTTTCTGCTCCGGAATCCTTACCTTTGGCTAATCACGACCCACAACCCTGGGGCGCTTTGAGTAGGGGTCCCTTGGGGATATAGACCCTCTCAATAAGGTATTCAAACTCCTCGATTTGGACTTAACTGCCAGGGCCACATCGTGTGTTGGGAGCTGCAGGGCCTGTCGTCGGACTGTTCCGCCAAGGCTGAATCGTAAACGTGACCAGTGAGGTATGTACTTCAAGCAGTAGCAAGGCTCCTGGCGTTGGTCCTGTATGTTGTCCGAGACTGTCTTGGGACTGTTTGGAAGCTTGAGCAATGTTTCCAGTCAGAGGGGTTTCTGTGCATTAGGCCACAAAACAGTCTGCCAAGCGCATGTGCAGAGATGAACGCATCAGCTCGATGTTGCACAGGATCTCAAGCTAATGGTGACATACGGTACAGGTACAATGATCAATGCATTGCAGTTAGAGTCCAGAATAGATTGGCTTCGATTCTGCCGGGAGTATACTGGATTTGACATGCACTGTGCTCTAGATTTCGATCAAACTCACATGGCAAAGTTTCCTGCCCATATTACACCGACCGGAGCAATAGTCTTGAATTTCGAATTAGGTTAAGGGCTTGCTTTCGGGCGAAGATGTACGTTTCAGGGGGATGTGTGGGTTACCGCTTAGGGTTTGCAACTACCGCAAGCCCATCATAGGCAGCAGCCAAGTGTCAGGGCGCCGATTCCAAGCGCACTGGTTGCTGAAGGCTTCCTTGTACCGTAAATCGCAACCCTATCGGTCCATGTACTCAAAAAGTAGATGCATGGCCCCCAAGTAACTTGTGGCCAAGGTACTACTTTAGGTACATTTGAGGGCGCAGGTTGTGTACAAGTTCTAGGGTTGCACGACCTTGTGTTCTTCAAGTCTGGTACATGTTGTGTTTGGGTTTATAGCGTGAGTGGGTTTTGTTTCTTTACCTAGCTGTGGCGGATGTTTTTTTGTGTATGGGTGTTGAGTTTGACCGGATATCCTACTCACCTGTGGGCGAAGCTAATGTCTTGACTTTGAAAGGGGCTCTATTGGAGCTTCTGCTTGAACATAGATTTACGTTTACTCAAGTGTTTGGGCGTGCGCTTTGTTTCTCAAGTTTCTGGCGTTTTAATTGCACCCTTTCTTGACCGATGTTGTGACTACGTAACTGGTATCTCAGGAATGCATAATTACCTTGAGGTACGATTGCTCATGCGCGCAAGGCTCCGCAAAGACTTGCTGAACCACAACAAATGCCATACAAAGGCATGTAGATGTATGGAGGTGTGTATATATATATATATACACATAGGTAGACACCTATATCCATCTATCTCTGACTATGCGATCCTAAAACCCCGTTCGGATCGTCTGTCAGAGTTCTGCGATAAAGTGTCTTCCATCTGCACCTCGTACTTGAACAACACTTGGTGCTCCTGAGGAGATTATGCAGGCGCAGGCCATCAACAGGGGCGAGCTGAGGCTGTGAGCAGAGGATGTTTGCTCTCTCGCTGAGCGCCTGGCTCTGGAGAAACACAAGTAAGGCCCATCTCTTGGGGAGCCATCTTAGCGGAAAAACTGTAAGGACCGGAACCCTGAACAGCCGGCAAGGAAACCCATGCCCGCGCAGTATCTCGAACACTCCACCAAGCCCAAACAATCAACAACCACCACAAGGGCCTGGGATCCTGGTACCAAGCTCCTGTCTGCACTACACTAAACCCCGAAGCCACCACAACACAATTCCGAGGGCCCGGCTGTATGTACACCCGGGAATGCCGGCCAACCCCGTGAGACTAATTAACATGGAACCTGTAGCCCAATTCCCTGAATCTGAATACAGCTCGACCCTAAACCCAAAACCCTTTAGGGGTCAGCTCCTTTCCGTGGGTCCATTATACATGGGGCGTGCGGCCTCTGAGTATTGGATCTTCCGCCAGGACGTCCGATCGTCCGTCGACTCGGCCGTCACGAAGCAGGTGATGGGCATTCGCAGATTTCGGAGACACTTCTGACCAAAAATGACCTGGCTTCTTGTTGCCTAGGATAGGCATGGGGTCGAGGTTTTGTGGCTTGGAGTCTAGAGACTTCTGACCGAAGATGACCTGGCTTCAAGGTCTACAGTGTCTAAGCATCTTCAGAATGGAGGCGCAGGGCTAAAGGCTTCAAGCAGGGCCTTAGCGGCTGGGGCAATGTTGGTTTTCTGAGGGTTTGGGCTTTAGATCTTTCATTTCCGAAATGCAGCGTGCTTTGGAGTCTTCGGCAGGGCCACATCATAGAAATTAATCAGCCCAGATTTAATGATTTCTTGATTTCTTTGAAATGAAGGGGCCCCTAACCTTGTTCCCTACACCCCTATCCCAAATCAAAACCATATCCAAGTCGTAAGATCATGCAAGAACCCAGGAGCCCAAACTCATCAGGCTGGAGCACACGCCAGAACAGCTCGATGTTGTAGGTCTTTTGGCGGTTGGGCAACGACCGGCTCACCTTTGACAGCTTCGGGTGGATTCTAAAGCATCGTGGGCCTTGGTTGTGCTTTCAGGCTGAAAAGCCCGAAACCCTGAGGCTGTTGATCAACGGCCTTATAACACCAGGTCTCAAGGACCTGCAGCTCAAAAATCGGGGCTTGGAAACTCAGCCCTCAAAACCTGGGTAGTTCTCTGCATTGGACCGCTTTCCCCGCCTAGGCGAGGCATGTGGTCTGAAGTCAGCTGTGTGAAACTAAAGCACTGAAGAAAACCCTAAACCCTAAACCCTTTTTCAGCGCGGGCTTGGGGTGTGTGCCGGCCAGCTGGAATCTTAAGGTCTTCACAAGGCACAAGCAAACCCTAAACCCTAAACCCAAAGCCCTAAACCCTGATAAACAACACAATCCCACCTGGAATAGGATAGCTTGTAAATCGAGTGTCGATCCTCTTCCGGGCCTTAAGTCCCGCATTGAAGGACAGTAAGTAGTTTGGGACTTCGGCCCCCGCCCCTCTGCGAGACTACTTTATTTAGGGGCCTTATATAACTAGAATAAGGCTCTTGGGCTCCTTTATAGTATTATTATCATAAGGAGCCCTAACAGTAATTGAAAAGTAGTAAAAGCTTCTGGCTCCTTTATAGTATTCTTATAATAAGGAAACCTTACAGTAAAATTGGTAATTGTTTAATTTAGGCTTCCAAATTATGATAAGGCCAGGTGTCAGGGGCATTAAGGCCACGGTTAGCTGAAAGGATGAGGGGCATTCACAGGCGGGTCGCCCCGAGGTAAAGACCTGATCATCCGCAGAATCATCACGACCCTTATGTGCGAAAGTGAAACCTGCGAGACAGTGGCAAAAAGATTATAAGGAATCTGTTGTGTTCCTAAACAGGGACCCAACTACCCAGCTGCCGGGGATCATATCGAGGTTGACAGAATGCTGAAATGCAAGGGCGCAAAAAGTTGAGTGCCTCAAGATAGGAACGAAGCCTTAAAGTCTGGCCCGGTAATGGAAGCTGAAATCTCGCCCCTGTTCTGCTTTAGAATCCATGTTAGGTGCTTTAGGGGCCCGATGCTAAGGACGATGTTGGGGTAAATCGCAGAACTTCACCGCAGAAGGCTGATAGAAGTACAGGCACTGCTTCAGATTTCCACACTAAAAATCTACGCAGACTGAAGCGGGGAGGTGGATAGATGCCAGCAATGCATTGCCATGGAGGAAACTTGTGTTGCATTCTCCAGGCACGATCGTCTCGTAGGGGGCGAGGAGGTATCGAAGGGCCGTATCAGCTCTGGCGATGGCCAGGTTGTAGTTTACTCCTGGCTGCTCCACACGAAGTAGCCCAGATGGGCCACTAGCAATCTACGACCCAGCTGGGTTTGGCAAGCAACCCCGATCTTTGATTGTTGCAGCAGTCTTGGCGCCCTGTCATGTAACTCGAAATTGTCTGATGACTATGGCGCCGATAAGCGCGATACCGAACTTCATCAAACTCCAATTACACAAGAAGGCCTTACACACCGTGTGTCGAGCTATTCAATCCCACATATAAGTCCTCCAAACTCGTGCCCAGCTTGCGTCAGCACATCACCACGCCCCACGCACCGCAGAAGATCCCCGGCCGGCGGAAAAGGGATGAGATGCATGAAGTCCGACCTCGTGAACCTGCACTTGGGGCTCTTGAGACCCAAAGGCTCCATGTACCCATATAGTATATACTTAGGCCTTACAGGGGTTCCTATATGGGCACTTTAGGGTCTAAGTATATACTATATGGGTACATGGAGGCTTTGGGAGAAGCCAGAAGGGCCATCCAGCTAGGTAGATGTGCATATGGGCTATTCTCTAAATTTAGGGTCCCTTTTATCAGAGTGCCGTAGTGTTTTGGGGACCTAAAAGAGACCCGAATTTAGACAACTACCCATATGCATGGGGCTTTGAGGTTGGGTTACCAAAGGCTCTTGTCTTTGGCTGAGGATCGTTCATATAGCTTAGAACAGTATAGGGTTTATAGGGTTTAAGGGCTTTCGTTTAAGGTTCATACTCTGAGCAGCTTCCGGGTTGTCGAGTGTTTTCAGAGCTTGCTCTGGTTTGGGTGTTCTTGGGGAAAGGGGCTCCTAAAGATGTAGCCGCTCAGTACATACGTATAGACGGACAGACAGACAGACAGACAGACAGACCGACAGACCGACAGACCGACAGACCGACAGACATATATATATATACACACATATATATATACACACACATACATCTATATATGTATGTATGTATGTATGTATGTATGCATGCATGCATGTATGTATGTATGTATGTATATATATATACATACAAACCTGCAAACATGCAGGTTAATCATAGAACATACAGATACATGCGTGCGGTGTGTATACTTTGATTTACATGCATCTGGCACGATACCTTTGGAAACATAAGCATGCATTCAAGGCATCTGTGGCGAGTCGTAGCCTGCTGGAACATGCTTAAACCACTCACGACAGAAACGGCTCATACGCTCTACAAGACCTCGGGACCACCATGGAAAACAGGGATGTCGTGTTTTGATTCTCACATATTCTCCTGAGGCCAGCCAAGGAGCATGAAGAGATCGTAGAGATCAACTAGGCCCTTCGACGAAAGCTGGTCAGCGATAATCTTATGATTGATGAGAACCTTGGCACGCAGGGTCCTAAAAACAGTGCATTCTGTTCGGGGAATGCGTCGGATGGATACACCCCCCCCCCCTTTCCCGGAACGCTTTCTGAGCCTTGCTTCAAGCTCCCCCACCGCTCTCCCACATTCATCTTCTTTGATGACACGATGAAAATCCACACCCCCTGGCCTCTCGAACGGCTGGAACCCAACTGACTGCTTACTTCGCCAAGCACCTGTGTGTTCCCGGCATTGATCCAGTTTCCTTTGATCTTGGACATGTCTTCCTCGGCAGGTCTTGAGAAAGACCTTTAGAGACCTATCCACCCCGATAAGCTACAAGAGAATATGATTTCCTTGCAACACACTTGAAGTACCTTTAGCATCGCCCCGTTTGGAAGCTGATGTGCCCTGCAGAAATAGGAGTCAACTTTCACGGCCTCCGAAACGAAGGACTAGCTGACTAGCTTCTTTTATAAGGGCTCCTTGAAGGACCGGCGCTCCTTTACAACTTTTACAGGCTGCCCAATCTCCAAACCCTCATCCCCTAAACCCAGCCGAAACCTAAACTCCGAAACGCAACATCACAAATTCACGGCAACCACATCGATGTCTCCGTGGCTCGAAGTTGCCGTCGCCAAAGAAAACTTCGGGATCCGGCTTGTCCTGAATCATTTACAGCGTGGACTACTATCAGGGTTTCTACACACGAGACGGGTTATTACAAGGGTTCCATGCGTAGGTATTGTTTTTGTTGCAGAAGGGCTTTGGTTCAAGCTTTGCGGTTAATCTGTTCTTGTTGCTTTGGTTAGGGAGTTGCTGTAGGTGTGTGCCGTACCGTGAGCCCGGTAAACTTAGTGCTATGCGATTGTTTGGTAATGTTTGGATTTCAGGGGTTTTCCTCTGGAAACTGATCGTGCTGGCTGCCAGAACACGACCCTAAGACCTGTTGCCAAGGATCCAGAAAAGGAGGTGCTTTAGGCTTTAAGCTCTCAGTCGAAGCCCAAAACAAAAGATGGCCTGAGCAAGATGTGTGAAGCTTTGCTGAGATCCATGAAGCTTCTCTGAAACCTCCAACCTAATCTGGGGGAGGCCCTATTTATGAGTGGAAGAGGGCTGTACGGAGCACACTACAATGCAGTTATGTGAAGGAGCCCTGAGGAATGATCTTCAGACACCCCAAGCCCTTGCATGAAATGCTGCCTATCGGCCCTTGAACCCCCCCCAAACCCTGAAGATCTGGGAACCACAACCCCTGATGCCCCAAAGTGGTGTCTACACTCCCATAACACAGAACACACCTGTCTCAATTGCAAACCCAAACTTCCCAGGCTATTCCTGAGCGTCGGAGGTTTCAGAGTTCATGCCGCAGATTTCCTGTTTCTGAATTGAAGCAGAAGGCCACAGACAGAAGGATCCTCAGTCCTAAACACAAAAGGGCGCTGCAAGACTCTTTGGCCCCCCAAGAAGAAGGCGAGGCTTCTGGATTTCTGGAGTTCGGGAAGAAAGAAGAGCAATCAAAAGGTACTAGTCTTTAAAGAGGCCCTTAAAGAGGAGCAGTTTCAACTTTCGGACTGTAGACTTTGGGTTTCTTGGAGCTTGAGAGCCCTGTTTCCTAGAGAAGAGGCAGAGTCCCGGAGACCTCCGTAAGGGACTAATTTTTACTCAAAACTTGCGAGGAGTGGTTCTACAAGCCGGGTGCTGCTTCGTCATGTCAAACCGGTCGCGGAATCTTAAACTCAGCAATCGCAGCCCTCAGGAAGCTATCTGCCGAGCGGCGTAGAGCTCTGCAGACAGCAGCCGATCCCCGAGACTTTCGCGGAGGGCCTGACATCGCTGCTGATCGTCCTCGCGCCGTGCATTATTG